AACAGAAGCCTTAAACTTCTAGTTACGGATTCCTATTTTGTAAAGAAAGTTCTTATTTACGCTTAGATCTCATAGGATTTACAAGAGAAGGAAGAAACGATGGCTGAATATCAGGCTGTCCTTTCTGCACAATTTTTTTCCACCAATTGTTAAATAAGTCTAGGTAAAAACACGAGATTGCAATTTTTGATATGGATTGAGTGTTGATGAAAGAAAACTTTGCTTGTTAATATGATAAATTTACGCTCCCTGAAAATTTACTTTGCCTTTTTTCTCAGTGCTTGTTTTGTACCATAATTATTTGACTGTTCAGGTTAGTAAAACTGAGCAGCGTAATGACGGATAATGACTTCAACTGACTGACAAAACGAAGTCGATCAGATACCCAGCTTTTGCAACTAGAGGGAGACGCTTCTTTTTTTTTTGTCAAGGAAACCGCTTTTCTGTACGTTGGTTTTGCATAAACGCATTTCGCTCATCGGTAATATTTTTTTTGTACAATTTCCCTTTTAAAAGCTAATACTCTTTTTCATCCCATAAGCGTTTGGCCCCACGTAGAATTTCGCAGTTAAAAGGATTAACAACTTTTCAAGTACAAATATCTTCAATTTGGATTGAACTAAAAAATGCGAACATAGTACAAAAATGTAGCTAGGTGGTCTACTATTAGGCTCGCCAACCCTGACACTGGGCACTAGCTGGACTTTGAGAGAACTGACATTCTACGACAAATCTAGGGGTTTGAAGAAAAAATACAGACCTCCTTTTGTCAATAATTAGAAAAAGACTTGACGACTAAGTTTTTAATATGATATCGCTTTCGCTTCACAACATCCCGTTCTTGCGCCTAGGTCCTATGCAGTTCACAAGAAACGTAAAAAACGCCTCCATGGGTGCGGGGCTATCACCACAGGACGAAGAATCAAAGCATTTCTTGTTCTTACTGCTTATCAAGGAGCCTTCGAAAGATTAGGGCATTTCCTTGCACGCAGACCATTGGCGGTTCTTCTGGTTTCGTTCATTGTTTTGATTGGAAGCTGCCTCGGATTCATTCGCCTGAATGTTGAGCAGCCCACCGTTGAGCTTTTTACCTTCGTCAATAGCAAATCCAGACAAGACTCGCATGATTCCGCACAATTCTTTCCGATTCTTGAGGCACGACAAGAACAAGTAATTATGATACCCAGGAATGGGGACAGCATTCTAAGTGAAGAATGTTTAAAAGACGCCATTATGGTTCACAGAGCCATAGTAAATATCAGTGGTTACGTCAATATATGTTTCAGGCAGCAATCGCCAATTGCCCAACAAAGAAGCACAGAGAAAAGCTGCAAGATCAGCAATCCTCTTGAGTTAGCTGGAACGCATTTTCAAAAATTAAAAAATCTTTCCTCGATTCTGGCTCGCGAGTTGGTAAAGCCTACTAGTGTTCTTTCCTCTGGAAAAACATTTAATTCTTCCTATCAGCAAATGCTGGCCAATTTCCACATAGAACGGAACAAAGATCAATTGACTGCCCGTGCCGACGCTCTTCGAACTATTTACTTCGTAAGAAAGACAACCAGCACAGAAGACTACCAAGACATAGAAAGGTTTGAAGCCTCCTTTAGCAATCTCCTTGATTCAATGGGTCCTCGCATGAAATGTGCAAAACTCTCCTACCAGACTGAGAGAACAGCGACTGATGCCTTGCAAGATATACTGAAACCAGAGCTATGGCCTCTTTGTTTTTCAGTCGTAGCGATTGCTGTCCTTGTCTTCACTGTCATACGCTTTACTTCTACCAATGCAGGTTATTTAAGGACAGTCCTCCTGATGTTCTCTTCTCTTGCTTTTCCTTTAACCTGCTCTGCAGGTGTAGTCTCCATAACAAACTCTGCCTTTTCCTCAACGTACCTCTTTATACCCTTCTTACTTTTGGGGAAAGCAACTACAGACGTGGTACTTTACCTCATGGAATGGGAAAGGCAAAAAAAGGTGCCATCACTTGAACATCGCGTGGGAAATTGCCTGGCTAGAACAGGGGTTCTTGCTATGATGACTGCGCTTTGTGGGTCAGCTCTTTATGGAGTGGGAATCAAATCCTCTTTTAATGCCATTTCCAATTTTTCCTTTGCAACACTTGTTGCTTATGTAACATTTTCTGCTTCTATTGTGATCACAATCATTGTGTTGATGTATTTTGAAAGAAAGCTTAAGAAAGTGAACACGCCCTGTGCGACTACATGTGAAAGAAGATTGTCCATCTCTGAATTTGGAAGCGTTGAGCTTAGACTCTCACAGTGCCAGAAGACAAGACTGCAACGCATTCTGAAAGAATGGGCTCGAAAAATAACATCCACCGGCGGTAAAATTTTCTCCCTCGGAATCTTTGCCCTTCTCATCACTTTAGTTGTTTTCTCCGCTTTTCAAACTGGAGACAGAACGCGTACCACACAGTTGCGCTATCGGAGTGAAAACTTCAAGCAGTTTAATAAGGCACGACAAATGTTCCTAAGCAACGAAACTGATGTGAGCATCGTTTTCTCCAAGGAAGTCGACTATTCACTAAAAAGTGTACAAGATCAAGTAATGTCAGCGTGTAAAAAACTGGAAGAGGCCGCTTACAGTAAAGGAAAGTCCCTTTGTTGGATGGCAGGCTTTCTACAGTGGGTCAAACATCAAAACATGAGCTGTTCACATTCAGAGTTTCACCGGTGCTTGGAACTTTTCCTGAAAAATTCTCAGAGTTTGCTGTTTAGACAAGACCTGCTTTTAGAAGATTCTACATCTCTTGTTAAAATATCGGCGTCTCGAGTTCATCTGAGGATGACACTGAACAACCGACTGCGAGAAGATAGAGAAGCCCTTAGGACACTGAGAAGTGATTTACATGAACAGTCCTCCTTGAAAGGCGTCCCAATCTCCAAAGAATTTTTCAAGATAGATGACCTCGTCGAGTTAGAAAAAGAAACCATCTCCATAGTTCTCACAGCTGGCACAGTGGTGGTGTTTGCTGTTTCTTTGTTTGCAATGTGTCATGTCGGGGCTAGTACACTCCTGGCTATAACGTTCGACCTTCTAATACTGGAAGCAGCAGCTATTATGAAAACATTTGGAATCTACCTGGATCATGTGGTTTTCATTTCTCTTTTTGTGGCGATCATGCTGTCCTTGAATTTTAGTATTGAAGTGTGCCATTCGTTCGTACTCTCGGCCAAGCGAGACATACAAGGTCGCATGATTGATGCTCTTCGCTCCGTTGGAGTATCCGTGCTGGGAGGCACTTTGATATCCCTATCAGCTTCTGTTTGCTTGGGATTCATTTTTCCCAGTCTAGCAGATATTTTCCATTTACTACTTTCCTCGGTGTTCGCTTTGGGGTCCATCCATGCTCTTCTTGTTTTCCCGACGGTCCTTGCATTGTTTGAGGAGTTAGTGCACAATTTTAGCTCCAAGACTAGCCAAGAGGAAATAGAACACTTCATGGTAGCAAATGACTCAATATCAATGGAAGCACGGAATGGCGACATAAGAAAGCTCAAGGCTAAACGTTCCGGGATCTCCATCATAGGCATTAGTTGTAGATTCCCCGGTGCTCACAGTAAGAACCTCTTTTGGGCCTTGCTTGAACAAGGAAAGAGCTCCATTCGTGCGTTTCCCGAGAACAGAACACAGCAGCATAAAGCGTTTGTTGAGTTCTACAACCCCAAGCGTTTCGTAAATGGACGCCTTTGTGCCATCAATGGTTCCTACTTGGAAGAAATTAAGACTTTCGACAACAGGTTCTTCGGTATCTCCAATCAAGAGGCACGTGCAATGGACCCTCAGCAAAGAATACTCCTTCAAGTAGCCCACGAGGCAATAGAAGATGCAGGAATGCGGCTTGAAGACTTACAAAAGTGTAGAACAGGTGTTTTTGTTGGCGTGATGAATATCGAATACGGTTCTCTTTTGGCAGACCGCTCAAATTACTCCTACATCGATCAGTATACCTCAACAGGGATAACAGCATCTATTCTTGCCAACAGAGTGTCATTTTGCCTTAATCTGACCGGACCAAGTATTGCCGTGGATACAGCATGTTCCTCATCGCTAACTGCTCTTAAACTAGCTTATGATAGCCTGCATAACGATGATTGCGATATAGCTATCGTTTGCGCACCCAATGTCGTCCTTAACCATTCCATGCAGATAATATCCAGTATGGCTGGACTTCTTGCCCCGGATGGCCGTTGCAAGAGTTTTGATGCTTCTGGGGACGGTTATGGACGCGGAGAGGGCTTTGCAGCGGTTGTACTCAAACTGTCAAAGGATGCTCTTTGTGACAAAGACGATGTGTATTGCGAGATCCTTGCATGTGGAATGAACAGCGACGGTCAAAATGCTGTCCCGATCACCGCTCCAAGTGCCAAGATGCAAGCTCAGTTATCAAGAAGCGTGCTAGAGCAGTCAGGAGTGGCCGCAGAAGACGTGGATTACTTCGAAGCACATGGGACTGGTACCGCGATTGGTGATGTAGTGGAAGTCAACTCCATAGCAGATACCTACTCCAACCTGGCCGCAAATTCTTCACGAAAATTGAGAATTGGCTCTGTCAAATCTAATCTCAATCATACGGAATCTACTTCTGGTCTTGCTGGACTTATTAAGGCCGCCCTGATGATAAAAAAAAAAACAAGACCTTTGTACCCACCATCAACGTCAAGGTGTTGAATCCCAAACTAAAGCTTGAAGAAAAAGGATTATTCTACAACAAACTCGTGAGTCTTGGAAAACAGAAAAGGGAAAACCGCGAATAGCAGCCGTTAATTCGTTCGGTTTTGGTGGGTCAAATGTGCATGTTATTCTTCGCGAAGCTACAGCAACACCAAGCTTCCAAGTGGAAAACTTCAAACGCAAGAATAACGTTCTTACTATCACAGCACGTTCTCTAGAAGCTCTTAAAAGCTGTCACGCCTTTACTCCAGGTGGATTAAAGACAACGCTGAAGAAATGAATGAACACTTTGTGGAAAACTTATGTTCTCGTTGAACGAACGTCGAAGCCAGTATCCGCATCGCCTGGCAGTTGCCTTTGGGCCTCCTTTCGAAGCATCGAAGTCACTAGAAGCTTTTGCTGATGACTCCGCCGGTTGGGAAAAGACCGCTTCTTATGCTGAGGTGACCTCAAGCGATAGGAAACTGGTTTTCATGTTTGGGGGTCAGGGATCACAATGGTATGCCATGGGAAGGCAGTTAATGGAATGCGAAACCGCTTTCAGAGAGGCAATTTTGACTGTTAGCAGCTTACTGAGAGATATGGGACAGACGTGGTCACTTGAAGACGAATTGATGGCACCAGAAGACATTTCGCGAATATCGGAAAACTACATTGCCCAGCCAGCCACGTTCGCTGTACAGTACGCAACCGCACAGCTGCTTAAGTCCTGGAAAGTCCATCCGTCTGCTGTTATTGGTCACAGTTTAGGAGAGTTCGCAGCTGCCTGTGTTGCTGGAATCATCACAGTCAAGGAAGCACTTCAGCTGGTACTAACTCGCTCCACTCTTCAAGACAAATGCCCAAGCAATGGAAGTATGGCTGCCCTGGGCATGCCTGAGATAAAGGCCAGGGAACTGCTTTTCAATCTAAGGTTAAGCGCCACCCTCGACATCGCGGCAGTTAATGATGCAAAAAGCGTCACTGTAGCTGGTGAGTCGCAGTCCATCGAGGCATTGGGACAACATCTTTCGATGAACGCAAGAGATGTTTTCTGGCGTGTTCTTGGAACAAATCGTGCATTTCACAGCTCACACATGGAACCCATCAAGCAACCATTTCAGGCAGCTATGAAAATTGTACAGCTAAACCCTCAACTATCGAAGATTCCAATGTACTCTACCGTTGAGGGCGAAGTTGTCTCGGGTCAGCAGTTAAACAGCGATTATTGGTGGCGAAATATACGCTGTCCTGTTCGCTTCTACTCGGCAATGAAACATCTACTGAGAGATGGTTACAAGCAGATAATTGAGATCAGCACGCAGCCAATTCTTGCCCACTACGTAAAACAGATAGCTCTTCAGGAGAATTTGACGGAACAGGAAAGGCCCGTTGTTGTCGCAACTCTTCCACGTAAGAGAGTGCCCATCAAGGAGCAACACAAATGCTTTCTTCAGAACACAATATGCAGATTGTATACCATGGGATTTCCCGTAGACTGGACCTTGGTACAGGGGAGCCAATCAGCCAGGTTTATCCGGTCCCCAACATCTCCATGGCTGGAAAACAGTTTTTGGTACAGGGAACAACCACCGCAATCAACAGTCCACCCAATTAGCTCTAAGGAAACCTTATGGAAGCCAACACATCCTTATCTGGCACAAGTCAAAATGACCGACTTATACTCAGGCCTGCACTGCTGGGAGACTGAGATTGACCTTTTCAATTTTCCATCTCTAAAGGACCACGCCCTTATTGAAGGAGGTGCCGTGATGCCCGGGGCTGCTTACCTGGAGATGGCCTTTGCAATGGTAAAGGACGAATTCGTACATACTTCTGGCCTGGAACTTGGTGATGTGAAACTTTCAAGTCTTCTCACTCTTCCTGAAACACAGGTAAGCGTAGTATACACATAAATTAGAGACAAGCCACATCAGCTAGGTTGAGGTTATTGCAACTTTTTATCCTTTGTTCTTTAGGTTAGATCCTTACGACTTCGCCTTTTAAAGACCGACAAAATAGACAAGGCTCAGTTTCACATTACAAGCGTGCAAGACGACCAGTCTGAAATTATTTTGAGCAGTGGAAACATCTCGGTCGATTTCTTGGACACAAAAACAAACAGCGAGGAAGAAGGTATTATAATATTCAAATGCGTTTGCGATTCTCCATTTATAGCCTATTTATTTATCCACCCATTTATAGTCATGATTGCAAGAGACTATAACTATCACATAGAAATTAAAAGGAGACATTTCCCCGTTTTGGCCTTTTACAGCTTGTAATCAAGTTGGCCCAGCCGTCAACGAGCTAATCAGAAATATGAAAGAGGTGCCGATTGAAGGATTCAGAGAATTAACTCAAAAGTATGGCTTTCAGTATGGTGGTGCCTACTCCATCATCAAACAGACATGGCACCGCGAGCGCGAGGGACTTTGTCTGATCGATATCCACGAATCAGCCATCGTTCAATCAGAAAGTAAAAATTATGTTGTCCACCCCTCCATTTTGGACGCGTGTCTGCAGTCTTGCTTTATCCCACTTGGAATCTCAGCTACTGATGAAAAATCTGTTTTACCGGTGGGATTTAAGGGCATCACGCTGTATCATGTTCCAAATACCAATCAACTCTATTGTCACGTCGTTGAGGATGCCAAAGAGTTCGGGAAATTCGACATCACGCTTATGAGTCCATCTGGAAGGGTTTTACTAACTATGAGAGAGTTCCGTATCGCAGAATTGAACAGCACACCACGCCGATTTACTTCTGATGGCCTTGTTTATGAAATGAAGTGGATGGAAGAGAATTTACAAGGACAAAGAGCAATGGCGCCAAACTTGACCTGTCTTCTTCTCAGGGACAGCTCCCTTTCTCAGACATCCTAATCGGCAAACTTCACGCTGCAAGAGTCAATGTAATCCCAGTTGATCCACCCGATGCTCTATTTTTTGATACAGAAACAAAAGAAACAATCAGCAGAGAGCTTACTGCCCTACATTCGATCCCTTCATCCATGCTCAAAGTCGTCAACTTGTGGCCAGTAGAAACCACTCTCCTACCAAACAATTTCGATGTTATCGAAAAAGCACAAAACCTCGCCTTCAGCAGCTCAGTTTTCCTAATTCAACAGCTTACAAGAAACCATTTTCTCGATTCTCGGCTTCTGCTCGTGTCTGAAAGTACACAGCTCCTAAGTACCACAACGAAATCTCACAACGACTCCATTCCTTGGGCTTCTACAATCTGGGGTCTTCGCAGAACAGCAAAGCTCGAAGAATCTGATCTTAGGATTACCACGATTGATCTTGGCGACAAAAATGATAGTGATGAGATAGATTTGCTTCTTTCTGAAATCCTTGGCGATAGTATGGAAGAAGAGATTGCCTTTCGAGATAGAAAGCGGCTCATAAATCGCGTTGTGAGATCTAATATTTGCACCGAGCAGCCCACAATACACAGTAATGTCAGCGACTGGGGTTCTTTATACTTGTCATCCATTCCTGCTTCACGGAAGGTCTGCTTTCGCCAGAGGAGTTTTTCGCGGCCATCGCCCTCCGAGGTCACAGTAGAACTGCTTTATTGCTGGACACCCTCTGAGTCAATACTTGATGTAGCCAAACCAGATGCTTGTGTTTTCACCGTGGGAAAGGTGATTCATCTACAAAGGGAAGCTGCAAGTAATCAGATACAAATTGGAGACGTTGTGTGCGGCGTTATGGCGTCTGGACGAGTTTCTCGTTCCGTTCCCATGCAAGTCAGGAACATTTTTGTAAAGCCAGCTATTTTGACGCAAGAACAAGCAACATACATCCCTGCCTGCCTTGCCATAGCCTTTCACGCCCTACAACGGATAGGAACGATGGAAGAAAAGAAGAAGTTACTGATTCATCAGGCTCACCGTGGCCCTGGGCCTGTGGCAGTTGCCCTTGCAAAAGCACTGGGTCATGAAGTATTTTGCACTATCTCAGATACTTGCCAATCGGTGACAGAATCCACCCTTCTAGAGCTGGGAGCAAAGAGTGTAGCACATCAGAGTCTCACAAGTTTTGAAAATGATTCCATCGACGCTTTTGATGCAGTTTTGTTTTTCTACCCACCCTCTCCGAACGCTCTCCAAAAAAGCAGTCGACGTCTCAAACGTGGAGGAAAAGTCGTTATCTTGGGAGCCGAATTTGATGGTGCCGTCGTGTTTCCTGCAAAGAAAAACGTCCTGTATGTAAGAGAAAGCATTTCAGATATCATCCGATCACCGAAGACTTATCAAAAGCTCAGCTTAGAGAGTCTAGAGCTGCTGAAAGGTAGTGGAGTTCTGCAAAAGCTTCTGGAACTCAAGTTACTATCGACAGACATACCCACGGCAATTGAAGCTGCAAACAAAGCCACTCTGAAAGACTCACCTCCAAAAAGGGTCCTGAGAGAATTTCGAGGCATTTCTTTTCTGGTTCACTCTTTTGCACCATCTGAAGGAGGCAATGATCTTCTAACGATCCCCGTGCTTCCACGAGGTCTGGATGTGTGTGGTCTCAAAGAAAACAGAACGTACTTGGTGGCTGGGGGGACCAGAGGATTCGGATTTGAGGTGGCGCGTTGGATGGCCGAGAATGGAGCAAAGTCTATAGGACTGATTGGTCGTTCCAAGCTCTCAGATACCGAATATCAAAAAGTACGAGATTTAGAGACGAAGACAGGTGCAAAGTTCTATACGTTCCAGGTAATTTGGTGCGTTACCTTTATGGTAGTCAATAGTCAAACGGTTACTACTTCATTTTCGCAACTAGAAATGCTAAGTTGCATTTGTACAATACTTGCAAAGTAACTTTACCTGAAGCACAACGCACGCCAAGAATTTTAAAGACTGTTTTCTATTTTGTTTTTATAGATTGATATCTCCAGCCGAGAGCAAATGTTTTCCTTACAAAAGCAGCTCCAGTCTCTTCCAAGTGTAGCTGGAATAATACATTCTGCCATGGTTCTCCGAGACGAATACATCAAAGATTGGAAATTTGAAAGTTTCACAGAAGTTATGGGTCCTAAGATCAAAGGTGACTATCGGCACTACTTCATATCGCATACTTTAATATTTCCTTTAACATCCTTTGTATATTTGATTGACCCAAAAAAATTGATTTATACCTTTCAACACTTATAAATATCAAATTATAATCATTCAACTTCTAGTCTGTGTTTGTTTTCCATTTCATCTTGTATTAATATATGATAAAAGTGCGATGAAAGTTCGAGTGCACCTAAACACACACGATCATATCTGTTTACCATAGGTGAAAGTAGCCCAAATTAACTACGAAAACTAAGTGTACCTGAACATTCAAAGACACTTGAGCACTATCAGTTACTTATTTTCATTTCTTTAAATTGGATTGTGTATATATTGTTATCTGGATAACGTATTACATAACATATCTTGATTTTATAAATGAAATGGAGATTGTAAGTGTGATATTTCTTCTAGGTTCCTTTTTACTACACCAAATGAGTTTGGAGATGGATCTAGATTTCTTTGTTATGTTCTCATCTATGGCATCTGTTGTTGGAATCGTGGCATCTTCGTCATACTCAGGCTGTAATGCTTTCCAAGATTCTCTTGCCCAGTATCGAAGACAGGTACTCGGTTTGCCCGGACTTTCGATAAATTGGGGACCAATCAGTGGAGCTGGTGTGATGCAACGGCAGAGTAATATTGCAAAATTGATGGCAGTTGGAGGACTGGGTTTCATAAACGCCAGAGATGGTAAATATGATATTTGTAACACGCTAATGGTGGTTTTGTATATGAATTTGATTATTCTCATGGGTAATAATTAGTGGATTTAAAAGACAAAAAAATTATATCGTTGAGAATAGTGAAAGCAGATGAAAATGAACATGGCTTTTCAAATAGTTTGTGAGAGAATAGTTGCATCCACTGCTCTTGATGCTACAAGGTAAGCCGAGGAAGAGAAATGAGCGTTTTACAAGCGTAGATGAAGAAGCAGTTCACTCCGGGTGACATAAGTTTAAGATCGGCAGCTGACGGTTTTCAGCCAGTAGACGACATTCTTTACTTATCAAAACGTAAGCCACGTACTGGAATTGTTCTCAAAGTAAAGGTGACTGCTTTTTGTACCTTAAGAGAAAAATTGTTCATCAGTAGTTTCCATGGAAGATTCTCGATTACTTTTCAGGAGTCAATCTGATGGCCAAGGTTTTGACCGAGGAGCCGAGCCGTTTCCAAATCTCTTTATTTGGTGTGGACTGGCCTCGGTATTTCAGCAGTAATACCGGACTACAAAATACGCCCCGACTCTCAATGTTCACCTCAGAAATCAATGTTTCTGAGAGCCAAACTAACACAGCAGAGTCTTTACTGCAAAGAATTCGGTTAGAGAAGGACCCAGATAAGAAAGACGAACTTATCGTTGAGTATGTTCGCATCTCGGTTGCGGAATTGACAGGCAGTTCATCGCTTTCAGAGACGGATCTAAACAAAAGCTTGTATAGCTATGGTATTGACTCCACTGCAGCTTTGACTCTGAAGATGCTGCTTGAGTCAAACTTGCAGGTCTCTTTTGAGGTGTGTATGTCATTAGATAACTGAAAAACAATGAATTTGTAATTTTCCCAGCTGGTGCATTTAAGAAAGTCCCGTTGGAATATCCTTATACGTATCTTGTAACCAAAGTGTCTTTTAGTTTGCATAGCAGCATTGTTCTAGGAAATACTCCAATTAAGAACAATTCATTCGATTCAAATGAGAGACGATTCTCTTGAACCATCGATACTACTAAATACACCCCTATATACCCATATAAGGATCATGCCCTTATGTGTGTGGATGGTTTAATCGAATTAAAAGTTTCTATAATCATTCTTCGTACCTGGAAATAGTGAATATTTAATCAAATTTAAACGTACGGTAGTGAATTATGTTCAATCGAAACGTCGATGCATGTTAAACGTTTGAAACTCTTGTCTTTAGGTTTACTACTTCATGCAGCCTGACACTACTACACTAAAAATGGCCAGGGACATCAGTGCCAGGCTTCGTGGGAAAGCAAGCAGCCCGCAGAATAGCGAGAGCCAAGAAAGTGCACCCGGACAAACTCAGTCATCGGAGGAAACAAATACTTCAGACATGCCGTCCAAGAAGGAGGTTCAAGTCTTACCTCTTTACACTCCTGAGGGATCAGCAATAAAGTTCTTCTGTGTTCACCCTTCACATCGCTACGCGTTGAATTTGGTTCCCATTTCTACCGGATTTCAAGGACAGGTGCGTATCTGACCGTTATAGAATTGATTTAGCCCCTCAGCCAATGACATAAACATCATTTCAACATCTTTTTTTTATCAATCACTTTACATTTAGTTGTACAGCCAAAGAAATATTTTGCTGTCGTTGTTATAGTTTCAAGATAATGTGAATCCTGTGGTGACCATAAGGCCGAGGTCGCTTCCCAACCCAGATCTTAGAAGATGGTGAAGTTTTAAGTATCTGACTCTTTAGTATTCCCCGCTTGACCCGGTAGCGAAAGGGGCTAGACAATTATTTGACACAGTTTACAGGGGTCACATATTCTGGAAATGATAATGATTTCTTCTCCTCCGGATCAACTCATATTCTTTAAACTTCGTTGATTTGCGCTTTCTCTTGCCCTTTATAAAAGTACACGTCAGAGGTTTCAAACACTTTCATCGTGTGGCTTGCATCTTTTGTTCGTCTTTACTAGGACTTAGTATCCTTTTATGCTCTGGGCTTTACTGATCCTACGGTCATCAGTGAGGACTGGGGTGGAGTGCGTGAGCTTGCTGCTCATTACGTTCAGCTGATCACCAACGAACAGCGCCATGGACCGTACTTTCTCGGGGGATATTCATATGGAGGACTTGT